CATGAAGGCCGTGTTCATCACCATATCGCGGCCGAAGACGAGCTGTGCAGGCGTTGCCTCCTTGGTCGTGGACACCGTCGCGCGAATGGCAAAGGCGACGCTAGGTAGCACTTGTTCCCATGCGTTGGCGTCCAAGTCCGAGGTGCGAACCATGTCACCGAGGACTTGGTGAATGCGCTCTAGCACAGAATTGGCCTGAGGGTTCTTGACAGTAGTCGGACGAGGTTTTACTCCATAGCTCTCCAGCATCTCTTGGAATTCAGCGCCCGTAAACTCGTTGCCTTGGTCGAAGATGCAGCATTCTGGACGAGGGTATCTACAGAACCACTCGTTGTCGAGAATGTGCGCGGCGGTCTTGGCCTCCTTATCCGTGATGGCGTGCACTTCGAACCAGCCTGTAGCAGGATCAATCATGGTCATCGCACTGTACTTGTTGCCGGTTGCGGCGTGTGTATAGGGCCCGATGAGGTCGACACATACTACCTTCCACGGTTCCACAACAGGTTCTGCCACAGGTAACTTGCCGTATTTGAACCAATTGGCGGTGACCCGGGTCATCAACTATTATTAGAGCAAAATCTGAAATATTTATTTAATTTTAGCACCAGGTACTTCAGTACCATTTCTCGCTTGGACTGCGATCCTTCCACTGTTGGCACAAATGAGCGACCCTCCTACGACAGAACGACGAGCTGGCGGCACAGGTGGCTCGAGTCAGGCCGCACCACGGAAGAAACAAAAGCCTCGGATCCACTTTCTGCCTTTGAGCGTGCTCGTGCCCTACTTGGCACTGGAAAAGTTGGGGGGGGTTGCAAAAATAGTGGAGACGATGGTGGATCGATCGAAAATAGTACCACTTTTTTGCGGTATTAATAGCTATTTTTTGCGGCTCCTTGGAGAAAAGCAACATGATACATTTAATAGTTTTTTTTAAAAGAGCGCGTAAGAAGAGAAGTACTTGGGGCAGTAGAATTCAAATCGTTGTTGTTAAAATATTTCTCGATTCCTGCCGAGTATTTAACTTACTATCCGGATGAATCAGCATTCAGCAAGAACAAGGACGAGTCTAGTGACGCTAACAAAGGTGCAAGAAGTACGAAGTGATAAGTAGCTGTATGAGTGCAAGCAAAGCGACCAATTGGACGACCTCGGAAGCAACAAGCTCATACAACAAAATTCACATTTATCCTGCGCTTTCTGACACCCCGTCCACAAATACCAAGCAGCCGGCATATCGATGATTCGAATATGGGCACTTCTAGCAGCACAGTGATAAGTAATGACCACGCAGTCGACGCCAATAACAACAATTCAGTATCGGCAACCTCAGATATTGATGGCGACACCACATATTTGGGAACGACATCATTTAGCTTAACTCGGACGTTGGATCGAAGCTGCAGTGCATCCAGAGCTGCAGCAAGGAAAGGATAGTCGGTATTGCCTGATTACAGAAACTTAAATAATGCATATGTTTTATGACAGAATAGTTGAGTACCGGGTCATTGGCGTGACCCGGGTCACCGCCAACTGGTTCATTTCTTCTTGTTGCGCTTCCACTTCTGGCATATTTCACAGCGACTCACGAACTCTTCTATGCAGCGTTTCATGTTCATCCAGGTGAAATGCTGGCGGATCGTCAAATACGTGCGATTCATACCCGGATGTTTGAGTTGCTCGTGGTACCAGTTGGTCACGTGGTGTTGGAGCGCCGAAGGAATCACAATGCGGTTGGCGGAATAAATGATCTTGAACTCCCCATGCTGTTTAGTCTCAGCTTGGCCGTCTCGCAGACGCTGCTGGAGCTGTTCATCACGAAGCTGCTCACTCTGGATACGCTCAAACGCTAGTGGGAAATCATCATCACATGGTTCAAGCGCAGAGCAAGTCTCGCTTCCATCTTCCACGAGGGGTAGCCGGCTGAGAGCGTCGGCGACAACGTTGTTTTCTCCCTTGATATACTTGATCTCGGGGGCAAATTCTTCCACGATCAAACGCCATCGATTGACTCGGTCAGACTGGAAGTTTGCGAAGGAAAGGTTTTTGTGGTCTGTGTGCACGATAATCCGATGTCCCAGGAGGATGTTGCGAAATTCACGTAAGACTTCCACGATAGACAGTAACTCGAGCTCCATCACTGCATATTTGCGCTGGGCGCTGGACAGCTTCCTGCTGAAGAAAGCTAATGGCTTGCCATTTTGGCTTACCACTCCCCCCAGCTGGAAGGTGCTGGCGTCCGTGTGCACCTCGAACGGTAGTGAAAAGTTGGGAAAATGCAGCGTCACCGCACGGCCTACCACAGCCTTGATTTGCTCGAAAGCAGTTTGGCACGCCGGTGTCCAGCGGAAAGGCGTGCGCGGCGACGTCAACGACGTCAATGGCGTCAACAGGTGAGCGCGCTGCGGCCACATATCGCGATAGTAGTTGACGAGACCAACAAATCGACGAAGTTCACGCTTGGTTTTTGGCGGAGCGAGCTGTTGGATGGCTTTGATTTTGCCCGGCAGCGGCTGAATCCCATCGCGAGTAAGGCGAAATCCGAGGTACTCGGTCTTGAGAGCAGCAAAACGACTCTTGTTCATGTTGACTTGCAAGCCACTGGTACGAAAGCGTTCAAACACCGTGCGAATGTGGTTGAGATGGTCGGCGAAGTTCGTGCTGGTGATGATAAGCACGTCGTCGAGATACACGCGGACGAAGGGAAGATCACCAAGCATGCGTTGCATGCGGCGTTGAAATTCGTCGGGGGCCGTGCAGATACCCATGGGCAGTCGCAGATACCGAAACTTTCCCCATGGTAGCACGAAGCAGCAGACACGCGAGGATCGTTCACCCAGGACGATGGAGTAGTAGACCATGTTCATGTCGAGCGAAGTAACGAAGACGAAGCGCTTCAAACCTTGTAGCAACTCGGTGATTTTGGGCATTGGGAACGGATGGCGAACGATGAGTGCGTTGAGGCGCCGGAAGTCAGTCAGAAAGCGTGCTGTTTTGTCCTTCTTCGGGATGATAAATGCTGGTGCGGCCCACGGGCTACTTGAATCACGGACAATGACTCCCAGTCGTTCGAGTCGGGCGACTTCCTTCTTGACTGTGTCACGATAGGCATGTGGGATGCCAAACGGTCGAGCATGGTATGGCTGCGCGCTCTCCTTTAGCTCAAACTCGTAAGGTTCACCGGGCATGGTACCAATGGCGCCCTGGTTGAGATCATCAAACTGAAGTAGCAGCTGGCGAAGTTCGGCTTGCTCTGGCTCGGTGAGGTGCACAGGAACGCAGTCGTCGACGTTCACTTTGGCATACTTGGCGTCCAGAATTTTTACCATACGTCGTTCAGCGTCTTGGACGCTGGTAGGAATCTCGAACAAGTACTTCTCGGCGGCAAGGTTGACTCTGGATTGCATGGGCACTTCGAGGTCATCCCATTCAATGGTGCAGTGATCGAAGTCGAACTTCAGCTTGAGCGCCAGGATCAAATCACGGCCGATTATGAACTCGTAGCCATGTTTCTCTGCACCAGGAGCAGTCACGTAGAAATTGTGTTGCACGACGCGGTTCGTAGTAAACGCGGGCAGCTTGAAGTACAGTGCGGCTGTGCCAATAGTTTCGAAGCGACCTCCTTTTGTCATCCACTTGGTCGTGAAGCGGGATAGTTGGCGTTCGTCGGGAATGATATCGTGAGAGCATAGCGACCGCGATGAACCGAAGTCGGCTAGCGCGCGCACAAGTCTGGTAGCGCCGTTAGGAAGCTTTACTGCCACGAGAAGCTCTGTCGTGACATGGTTCTTTGCACCTGGGGCTGGTGCAGGCGTTGTTGCCGTTGACGGAGGCTGGACGTCCGTCTTGGCTGAAGCGGACTCGATGTTGTAGCATGTCTCGGTCACGTCCATGTCAATGAAGTTGGCTTCTTCTGGAGCCTTGGTTTTTGCGCGGCACTCGTTCGTGTTGTGGCTGTGCGACTTGTGGTGTTCACACCATTTCTTCTGGCGTCGTTGGGCTTCTTGCTGCTCCTGTTGCCACCTTGGCCACCACGTCCACCGTTCGACGGTGCAGACCCGCTACCCTTGTGGTTGCGGCGTCCATGCTGTTGCATTCTGCTGGAGACCTCAGCCTCCTCGAGCTGTCGGAAGTACGCGACAAGCTCTTCAAGCGACTCGTAGTCCTGACCACTTTCATCATACTTTTTCTGCCACGACGACGGCATGTTGCACTCCACGATTTCTCGGAGTTCGTGGCTGGTCATTCGGTTATTTGGTGGTGGTAGGAATTGGATCAACTCGTTGATCTGGTGGAGGCGAGCGACGTAGTCCTCAACAGTCATATCTGCCGGCTTGGCGGTCTCCCGTAGATACTGTCGAATCTTGCTCGCTGGGCGTTTAGGAAAGTACATCGCGGTCATACGTTGAAGGGTTTCATCGAAGTGCTCGACGTCCTCGTTGCCCATGACGGCGGAGTTAACGGATTCAAAGCGAACCAAGGCTGCTCCGCGTAGCAGAATGCGAACATTCTGGTATAGCTCTGGAGCCTCTTGCCAGCCCTTCAGCTTGCGGTTGTACTCGAACTGCTTGCGCCAGTTCAACCACTCTTCTCCGTTGCCGTAGTCGAAGTGTCGAATGTTCAGCGACACATGGTCGTTGGCGTCGTGTAAGTTCGTACGCACACGGTACGTGACGAACAGGTCCCGCTGGTGCTCATCGAGAGCCTTGACGGTGGTCTTGAGCGGAATGAGCGACATGGCCTTGGAGAGAGCGACGGATTGAGCTCAATATGCCGTATGCTTGACGCAGTAAAAAGGAGACTGAGTGAATTAAGCGTTAGTGTTTAGCCTAGCTGTAGCAACTACATCTCCTAGCTCTTCTAGAACATCAAATCGTATGATCGGCGTTCTAGAACGCAGCGAGCATTCTAGACGATGGCCGTTCGGGATACGGCAATTTCAGACTGAACCAGTCCAACAGTAGCCGGCCCACAGTCCGGAGGTTGTCGCACCGCTTATTTACATGTCTGCTAAGGCCATCGGCAGCGTCTAGTCGCCTGGACTTATAAACTGGGAGCGTCTGAGTGGCCACAGAGACGAGGACGCATTTGAGGTGGTGAACGACGGCATTTCCGTCCTTCAGGAAGGAAACTACCAGGTCAACGTCGACCTACACCACAGCCAGCCAAGACAGAGTTACAACGTCGTTTTCAAGGTCTGGCACCACAAAACGCTGTTGGCCCAGTGCTCGCGTCCGCTGCGTACCAAGAAGGCGATTTCGCTCAGCTTACTGGAGATGCGCTGCCAGCTGCCGGCACTGACGAAGCTGCGTGTCGAGTTCCTGGCACCCGGTTTTGCCTTCCACGAGAGCCGCATTGTGCTGCGTCTTCTACAGTAGCTGTTCAGCCACAGCATCACAAAGGGGGTACGGATTGTTTTGAGTAAGGAGCCAAAGGCACCAAGAAGAAATGTAGAGACTCAAAGTTAGAGTAGTAGATCGCGCGGATAGCTCCAGAAACTACAGTTCTTATAATAATCGAGAATTGTAGTTTCTGGAGCTATCCGAGCTAATCGAGGGATCAGCAACGTGCTGGTGAGGTCAGACCCCCCCAACTGAACGATTTAAAGTCCTCTTTGGAGTCATATCCCAAATAGTGACACCCTCTGTAGTAAGGAGATTTGCCCGATGAAAATAGACGCCGCTACATGTATTATGAGAGGTTGCGGCAGAACAGTCTGAGATTTTTCGGGTGTCGATCAATAGTGGATCAAATAAGGTCTTGTTGACACGTTGCGAATATATACACAGCATATTGTGCACCTACGGGGATCTAGTCATTTTCTGACGGGGTTTTAAGCCTTTCAGATATATGGCGAGGTTAGCGGGGAGCGTAGTGAAGGTAGTAGACTTGTGTTGTAAGTGTCAAAAGACGAAGAAAGGTTAAGAAAGTCTTGAGATAAACACACCACCCATAGGATGAGGTTCGTAATAAGCATAGTGAGAGCCAGTAATATCAACTTGAGGAGGCCATGCTTTGAGAATATATTCTTAGAGAGTTTCCATTTTGGGAAACCTTAATGTTTAGAGCAGCCTCCCTGCCTCTTAACATACTTTTCACACTGATGAATATATGCAATAATAGAGGTATGGTTTCGTCAAAGGGTAAATGATCAGTCTTTAAAACGCCGCCGAGGAAGTCATCTAGGCTAGCTGATCCAACTTTGCCCTGCAGTTTTTTGCAAGAGAAAGAGGACTCTAGGAGACACGCCCTGGTAGGAATTCGAAGATAACAGTCAAAGCGCTGTCAGTGGATGTTGCAGCGATGAAGCAGGCTCCGCGCAACCTCAAAAGGAAGAAGAAGATGAGGAACCCCACTGCGAAGCAGCTACAAGCGCGTAAGAAGGCGCGAGCGGCGGCGCGTGCCGCAAAGGCACACGTAGAGGTGGTAGCATCGTCCACCAGCGTGGATGAGGCTACAGGGGCCGGGCCGGCAGCTGTTGAGGCTGTGTCTCAGGCCTCGAGTACTGTTTCGGAGGCTCGAGACACGTCAGATACTGAATTAGGGGCCGAAGAGGCGGGACCAGTGCCTTTGTGGCAAAGTAGAAGCAGAAGAAGTCTCGTGTGAGCTTTCAGCTTGCAACAGCGCTTCATGACGCGTTGGTGGAGGAGCAGGAGGACGAGACTCGCTCCAACGTGGCCAGCTCTTAGCCCAATGTCACTAAAGGATGGGGGAGAAATGTGTGATATTCCCATTATCCGCTCAGAAACCGCAGAATCAACAAATTCTGATACCGAATATGTGTCTAGCGACACAAGCGACGATAGTGACAGTAGTGATTATAAAATATACTGGCGCATTTACGGAAAGAATTACAGCATATCTAAGCTGATTGTTACCGAAAATTATGCCACAACCAAAGAAAAGTGGATGGTCGCTCAGATTAATGACAGGCGTGGTGACACTCTACTTGAGTACCATTATCAAGTGTTGTTAGTTAGCCCCCTCGTCAAGAAACGACGGTACTATCAGCGGACGTATGAACCCCGCGCTCTACTGCTTGCCGACGACTTTCGGAAAGAAATCGATCTGGTGGACAGGTGGAAAGCCTTTAATGTCCAGACCTTCGCTGAATTCTGTCCTACCGATGAATTTGGCAAATATGCTATCGGTGCTGACATGCAAGGACTCTGCGTACTCAATGCATTGAGACGTGCAGCGGAGCTATCCGGACGCCGTGATATCGTGACGCAGCAGAACATTGGCGACTTTGGGAACCATAAAAAGACTTCTCGTGGAAAGGACTTGACAAACGGGACATTCGTGGAAGGTTGCTCTCGTCTTCCCGCGTCGCCTACGTGACGCCAGACGTGAATTTATTTATCGAGCCATTGGATTGACCAATTTCGTAGTTGCTGGACGGAGTGGTGTGCGTGTGCTGAGGGGAATCAAGCTCAAGGATGGTGTCTACGTTGTTGCAGCTTACAATCCTAAGAACGTCGGCCACGCTTTCGTTCGCACAGTTTAAGAGGAGAACCGGCTTATCTACGATTTGGAAAAAGGTGAGCGATTGAATCAGCGGAGGACTGGATTGATTTTTTTCGCTTTTATTCGTCTATTCATATTCTGAAGTAGATGAAAGGAGTCAGTAGGATTTCCGCGGGTTTGCCTAACTGATAATGAACTTTCCTAGCAATCTGTTGTCTTTAGTATGAATAATATATATTCATGTGCCAATTTGTAATTCGGTACTAGACGAGGAAAAACTCAGTGAGGAGAAAATCTTTGCTGCGATAAAAGATAAAACCCATACGGAGAAAAAAAAGTTCGCGTTTAAGTAGGCACGCTTCATGCATAGCAAAATACCATTAAATTTAACAGAAGGCTCTTGCTAAGCTGGTTAGGGATTTCATCCTAAGTTTTGTCTAGCGCCTTGGTTAATATGTCAGCTACCATTGCTTTGGTATTAGAGTAGGCAACGGGAAAGTCGTGTCGCTCTACTTATTCTTGTACAAAACAGATTCGAGTGTGTACATGTTTGGATCTACCATGGAGTTCTGGGCTATAGCAGCTTTGATTGCCCTTGTGGATAGTGTTGGCTTGCGTGGGACTAAATCCTAACTCGTCAAGGAGAAGCTTAAGAAATATTACCTCTTGTATGCAATGACACAAGGCGATAAATTCTGCATCGGCTGTCGATAGCACCACAGTGTGCTATTTGCGTGAATGCCACGATATTGGACTATTGGTCAGCATGGTCACATATCCGCCAACTGAACGTCTAGTGTCGAGACAATTTGCAAAGTCTGAGTCGCTGTACGCTATCAGGTTGTCGGATAGGTTCTGCGGTGTAAAATTGAGTGATCCACCTAGAAGGAGACCGTATTCTTTTGTATCTCACAGGTACTTAAGGCCTCTAACGACAGCGTTCCAGTGCTTTATTCTTGGATTAGCTAGGAATTGGCTGACCTCACGCAAGTAGTATGCCATATCGGGTCGAGTGCCTACCATGAGATACATGACACTATTAACAGCTTCACGATACGGAAATTGTTTCATCGCATCTTTCGCTTCATCACTACTGGCTCGTGGTGCGTTTTGCATTCTTGCCTGCTGGAGTAGTTATAGGATAGGGACTGTAGTCGCTGAAACGGTCAATGACCGTAAAAGCGTACCTGTACTGGTGGATAAATATCGCTCGGTTCTTACGGTCCCGCTGAATGGATCAGCCGAGTAAGTACTTCACCTCCCCTAAATCTGACATGAAGAATCTGTTCTTTAGGGCGGATTTCAGCTCACTAAGGAGGGCTGTTGTCTGTGTAATGATCGGCAGGTCGTCTACATACACTGCGATTTAACATATGACACCGGTACGAGTACGGCGGAAGACGCACCGGTCTTTATGGAGTTACAAGGCACAAGGCTCTCTTGGAAAAAAGACAGCGCCTGACACCAGACTGGAGGGGTTTGCCTAATTCCGTATAGGCGTTTTAGAAGCTTGAACACGAGGTGCTCCTTACCCGGGATTGTGAAACCTTCCGGTTAGGCCATGTAGATCTCCTCTTCTAGGAAACCGTTAAGGAATGCTGCCTTCACGTCCATCTGATTTATTTTTAGATCGAGCAGGGCTGCGATAGTGAGAAGCAGTCTAAGCACTTCCATCCGAATAACAAGGAAGAAAATCTCGTTGTATTAAATTTCAAATTTCTAGAGGAAACCCTTATTCACTAGGCGCGCATTGAAGCGATCAATTTAACCTGTGCCGGTAGACTTGACTACAAAGACCCAACGGCTTGCTAGAATCTTTCGTCCTTTAAGAGGAGGTACCAGAACCCAGGTCTCGTAAGTTACTGGAAACCGGTCTGGTGTATGTTATCTTCTCGGATCATGCGCAAGGAGGAGCAAGACACGGATCCCAATGCTGATCCACGCATGACGATCGATAATCGCCAAGTCAACGACCGTACTGAGGCAATGCCGTGGCCCATGCCTGTGCTTGAAGTTAATGTGGGTGCGTTGGATGGAGCAACCGTCTTCTTCATCCTTGATTGGTCCCCGGGCTATTGGCAGCCCCCCCCCTTCATAAAGACTCACAAGAGCGCTATACCTTCGTCACACATCGGACGACGTATACGCCTACTCGGGTTTCTAAGAGTGCCGCTAACTAAGTAGCGTACTGCCAAGGCGTAGTTGAAGAGATATTTGGAGACCTCCTCGATCATAGCGTCCTTGCCTCGTTGGATGACGGTTTTGGCTATGCGGCGACGGAGGAGGAGTTATTGCAGCTACTGAATCAAGTTCGCGAACGCTGCAGTCGTTACGGTCTGAAACCGCATACCAAGAAGTGTTGTTTCTTCAAACGAGAGGTTACATTGTGCGGCAAGGTGTTCTGAGTTGCCGGTGTGTGCGATTGCCCCGAGCGTATCCAAGGACTAGTCGATAGGCCCCGACAACAGCCGACCAACTCTAACAGTCCCTGTGTGTAGTTAAGCGGATGAGGCAATCCATCCCTGCTTATATTAAGCTGACAGCTGCCCTGTACGCTACACTAGAACGCGCAATATCAGTGGCGAATTTCCCGCAAGAAGACGCAGCTTTTGTAAAGTGTTTCTGTCTGATGCTGGATGTAATAGCTAACTTTGTTCTCAGCTCTGGTTCTTAAGAAGTAAAAGAAAAACTGACCTGTATTAAACTAGGCAAATTAGAGCTAGCGTGGATGGTAGTTGGTGTACGTCCAGATAACAGGAAAGCCCAGTTGTAGGCGCACGACAGCCACGGTTTGCGCAGCTGAAAGCGAGAATTCAGATCAACGATCCGTATGACCCCAGCAGGTACACTGCAACGCGGAAATGACAACACAGTAAGCTTGCTAGATCGAGTCTGATGTGCAAGATTAAAT